GCACCCACGGGAGTGCAGGAATTGATTGGTAAGGCAGAAGCAGCAGGTTTATTTACAGAGGCAGGACCTGCATGGAGAGAGATTCTAAAAATTGGTAATTTGGGAAAGAACAACCCAGAGAGAACTGGGAATTTGCAGAGGCATTTTTTCTTTAATGCAGTATTTAAAGTTACCTGTAACAAACCCAAAACAAAGGACTGCCCAAACCTAATATAATAAACCCTGACTTCACCCAATTAAGCAGCTGCTAAATCCTCTAGCACTTCCTAACCAGGTAAATACAAAGCACTAACTACTCCTTCCCTTATGCCTCAGACAGTTGGCACAGGAATTCCCAGAGTTTAAGCCTCCTCTTACATGACCCAAATATGGGGCTTCTCTTTACAGTTTTTGCTCTATATAGAAGTACTTTCTTGAATCACACATCCAGTAACCCCACTGAGCATCTTTTCACTGACACTTCATTATGGGCTGAAACAATCTGAGGATGGCCTGGTTACAGACTCACAGGACAAAGCATCTGCTGCTGTAGCTACTCCTCCAGACTGGTTATTAAAGCTTCCAAAAGCTGAGAAGGCAAAGGTCCCAGGACACTGTCTGCCCACGGGAGCAGCCAGCCTTTATGTGTTTGAACACCATGTTTTGCACTTCATGCCTCCACCAGCTGCTTTCATTTAGATGCAGGTCACATTCACACAGACTAGAAAGCACCACAGACCCGTACAAATTGCTAACATGGGAATTCAGGTCCTTGAAACTCCTGCACTGCAGCCAATGAACAGTCTATAATTTCTCCATTAAATATTTAAACAATACTAACAATACTGCTATTAATAAATAGAATACCTTTCTCTTTTAGTACAGGTTCCTGATGTCTGGGATAACAGTGCTATAGATTTTTTTTAACACGTGTTTTAAACAGGCTGAAAAAAATCTATAAAGTGGCTATAGAATAATAAAGTTCAGTCTTTTGAGGAGACATGAATTTTCTTGTCAATCCACCAGTCGTACTTCATAGATGCTTACAACATTTCGGGAGTGGGGGAAGGAAATTTGGGGAAGAGCATCACTTGAAACTGGTTTCCAATGGCAGATCAGAGAGCATACAAGGCAGCAGCAGAGAAACATATGTTTGAACTCGAGCCAAAAATCTGGCTTCCTTAAGAAGTGTAGGATGACAAGCCTCTTGTAGCAGTAATAGTAGGCTGAAAAGTGGGGGTGGAAAAATTCCCTCTCTTCATGCAGAAGGCAAATTCTGTAACATCTACCTAGCAGCACTTAATTTAGAACAGCTGAGATTTGAAGAAAGCCTTCAAAATGACCCATTCACGACAGTCAAAAGCTTCACACTTTATGCTTTGCTATTGGTCTCTTCACTCACGACTGCTATATGAGATATTTGGGGAAATGGTAAATAATAAACTGGTATCAAAACCTAAAGCATTTGGCAGAACAGACACCCATACATTACTTGGTTGAGAGCTGATAAATGTCTGTGCCTTTCCTACATTAACATTTCCATGGAATTAGGCACATGAAAATTGATGGTGATCAGAAGTTAATTACAGTGTTTATGTCAAAAATCAAAAGAGCAAAACGGTGACTTTTAGTTTGGGTGTTCCCTTCACCAAGCTCAGCTACTTCCAGCGAAAGAGACTCCCAGGGAATGGCATTTGCTCTTACCAGCAGGACTGATGGTCTGGTCTGTTCTATTCACGGTTCACAGGAGACTAATGGTGCCAGCCTAGAGCTGAAAAATATTTTTATGATAGCAGTCCTTCTGCTGTCACCAAGAGAAGCTCTGTGTGCACCCAAGTACCAGAAAACTGCACAGTCAGGAAGATAATAAAAATAATATTCCAGGGGAAAAAAAGGAAGAAGAAGAATGAAAAAAAAAAAAAAAAGACACAGACCCAAGTTCCACTGTTTCAGATGGCACCACCTGCAACTCCCCAGAGGGCCAATACAAACTTTGAGTAAGGTCATGCCCAACATCTGTAGACTTACTAAAAGCTACTGCTTGGCTTTTTTTTCTGCTGCATGCCCTCCTCCACCTTGAAACTGTGCTGATTATCAGTTTTGTGCCATTTGATGAAAAGATACTCCAGCAACTGGCTTGCATAGCTGCTTATACAGCAGCAAATACCATATTTGTGGAGTACAAGAGAGCAGAAAGACATCTGCTTGCTTGACTCCAGTAGGTACAAGTGCCTCATTCTTCAGGACACGCTTGTGCTTTCTCTGCCTGAGCGTTCACACTGCCTGAGCTGCCTTGTCTCGGATGGCTGAATCCAATCCCTTCCCTTTTTGCATATCAAAGAGTTGATTTTAGCAGGATTGCAGGCGATGCTCAGAGGCTGCTGTCCAAGGCTTGAGAGATGCTCCTTTGCACCTGCACACAGCTTACAAACTGTTTGCTACCACCACTGAACACAGGCAGTTTTCTACATTCCACTCCTTTAGCTGCTTACCAGCTTTTGTATATCCACTTTGTACATTTTTCAAGGGACTTCAGAACAAAAATAATCAGAGTTCTTTTAAGGAAAAAAACCCAGTGGATTACAGCCACCTCTCCAGTCCTGAATCCAGCTGCATCTGTCATGGTTTTTCATGGATTAGCATCCTTTAAAAAAACTCACCAAACCACTGAAAGCCTAGAGCAAGCAGCTCCTCAGGTGGGACGCAGTGTCCCAAGGACACACTGCTCCCCTGCATCAAGGATCACTGAGCAAGGGAAGGAGCCTCACAAGCTGCTGGAGTCTGTTTTCCTGCCTATACATTCCTGTTTCATCAGCCTGATCCACCCCAAATCCGAAGATCTGCTCTTTAAAATGTGTACAAGTTCTCAGCTCACTGTTACCTTTGTGTTCCTTGAAGAATGAGCAGCACTGATTGCTATCTACAGTTCAAGACTGCCCCAAAAACAGACAAATTATCCAGAGAGAAAGATTCTTTTTTCAGGTTACCACTCATGGAAATAAACAAGCAAAATGGAGAGAAAAGCAGAATTTTAATTTTTTCTACACAGTAAAGCTTTCCACAAAGTGTCAGCAGTTCTGGGTTTGTAGACTGTTGGAAAGAAAAGGAAAATAAAAAGCAAAAGAAAAAAAGCAAGCCAGGCTTAACCTGTTCTTTCATGGCATCAGTGAAAACACACATGCAAAATGAGACCAGCACTAAGCTTGTCAGTGGTATTTCTCCATCCAAGAGACGACCAGGTTGACGTCTGAAAATTAAGTCTTCATAAAGGAGAGTTTTCCAAAACTGCCAATTGCCACTGCTTCAAATGACAGCAGGTTTGACAAAGAAAACACTACTCTGCTTTAGTAGGCAGAGCTACTGCCAAAAATTAAGAGAAATCTTTTTGCTTAAATTAAAACTTTCAGCTCCTCACTGTTTCTCTGGAAGTCGAAGGGAATGCAAACACAAGACAGGAGTGGAGCAAGAGCACTGCTTTTTACTGGGAGGTTTTTTTTCTTTATTTTTTTTTTCCTGACAAAGGCAATACCTTTTGGTACAAAATATCCATGGACTGATTCTTAGAGGGTCCCCCTCCCCAGGAGGGGTGCAAGGAAATCTAGTTTACTAATTTTCTGGGTGTGTTTTTCTTTTTAAACACAGTAACATTTGATCTGAATTTCAGCTTGCAAAGCTAATGTGCATACACAACTGCTGAATAATCCATGGATTTAAGTGTCCCTAAATACACAGTGAAAAGATGGATTACCCATTAGGATAAAATAATATACACAAGCCTCTAAATACACATGTACACTGTAATACACATTTTAAATAGTCTCTGTGTGTGAATTTAAATGATAATATGCATGCTAAAAAGTTTCAAAAGACATCTTTACAAAGAAGCCATTACCACTGTGTAAATAATACATCATTTAAAATAAATTTGCTGTACTCCCATGAAAGATTCCTTTTTGGTCAACATAAAAAAAATAAAAGAAATGAACACGTATAAAATACAAATAGCACTGTGGGATCAGTTTCAATCCGTAGCAGAGTGCACATGTGAGGGCAAGGGGTTATTAAGTTCCTAACTCAGCATGTTTCACATTCCTTCACTTCTGCCCAGAAATCTTGGAAAAAAAAATAAATTAAAATAGGGCCTTATCAATTAAGAGGGTAATGATTTACAGTCTTTGCAAAGTGTGGCTTCTTGCCAGTGGACATCTAAAGAATTTTCACATACATCCACTGCTCTACAGCACACACAAACTTGGGTTTGTCAATCGGCTCTCATGGACCCTTGATAATTATCCACAGATTCTAGACCAAAAAGGCTAAAATGGTCCTTCCACACATGCATGGAAGAAACACCATCCCCATTGCTGCCTGGAAGGAACAAAACCCAGCACTTTGGAGGAGTGCTGATCTGGAAGCTCTGATCTGGAAGGCTTGGGAAGGTGTGATGGCTGAGAGACCAGTTTTAGGGGGATGAAAGAGCTACGCAAAACAGGGAAGTCTTAAACACGAATGATCAGGTTTTACAACTTTTTTAATTCCAATTTTCAATCAAGTCTGGTTGGTGTACACAGTTTTGGCAAGTCTAAGTCTGGTATAATATACTGGACTGGAATTTGCTACTAGAACTTATACTGCTGAGCACTGAGAAGAGAGGGAAACAAATCAGGTTTCTCCCTTTCTGGGATAGGACAGAGATGAAAACAGTGCCCTGGGGGGAAGAAATAGAGCTGTTCCAACATGATCCTGCCCAGCTCAGCTCTTGCATCAGAGCAACTTCTGCAGGGTTCAAAACTTCAGAATTTGTCCTAGGATCCTGACACAGCCGCAAGCAGAAGTGGCATGTGCTTTTCCAAGTCAAGACGTCTCTTGCCAAGAGATGTGCCCGTGCCAGCTGTTGCTGCTGAAAGCTTAAGCCTGCAACTGTTTTGCTTCATTTTCCTGACTGCTCTTAAGCTAGTTTTTAATTCTGCCTTTCCAAAAGTGATTTAAAGGAGAATAAAACCAATAGAATCAGAGAAGAGCTGGTATACCTTCTTCCAAGGGAAGCTAAGGAGTGACAGACCCTTTGTTCTAAGCAGCCCTATCACAATCTGCACTCTAAATTCTCTAGGATACCTGCCAAGTCTCGCCTACGCCTGTGCCCTGCACCCGCCACTTGCTGTCAGCTCCCACGTCCCTCCCTCTGCCCCGCTACCAGAAAATAATCACATTTCCATCAGCTCAGGGTGCAATCGGGGCAATCCCACTCGACCCAGGATCAGCATTATTTGCCCAGTGTTCCCCACAGGGCTGCAGCACCTGAGCTTGGTGGGGAAACCGCAAGAAAGGCCCTATTTCCATCGGCAAGCGAGGATGTGCACATGAGACAGATTCATCTGAACACATATTAATATCATTTGGCCTAACATTTAGCACTTGATTTTCTGTTTAGCTGACCTAGCCTGAGTGCTCAGCCAGAGGAAGCCCTGTGATCTCAAAAGGCAACGTCAAAAAGCAGAAAAACCCAACACAAAACACACCCAAAGACCCAGAAAATCTGGAGCGTGGCGGCAGGAAAAACTGAGGCGGAGTGTCTGCTCTGCAAATGATTTTCCAGTTGACATTTCCCCCGGGCCCTCCCTGAAGAGCCCCGTGCAGGCCGGGCTGTTTGGGCCGGGGATGGGCTGGGCCGCGGCAGGCAGCCCCTCACGGGACAGCCACACAGCTCAGAGAGCACTTGATTCAAAAAAGCACCGGTTTACAACCCTAAGCAAACTCTCTGAAAGAATGTGTTTGCCCACGCAGCGCTGCTGAGAGGCACGGAAGAAAGCGATTTTAAGGGCTCTTTAAACTGGAATGTAGACGTATCAAAGGTGAGCTCAGGCTTTAGATTCAATAAGCTACCGCTCCACTCTTCCCTCTTGACAGTTTGGCCTGAAACAATCCCAGGCAATTCCTCTAAGCCAAGCACGATTACTTTATGACACCGTGCTTCAAAATGATTACGGCTGAGGAAGCTCAGAGCTCCATTCCGGGCTCCTTCCAGAGGGGAACAGCTCCCCAAGCCGGGGATCAGCGCTGGTGCTGGGGAGCATCCTCCTCATCGCAGGGCTTTCTGCAGCTGAGCTGGGAACAAAACGCTTTCCCAGGCTCAGCAGAGAGGCTGGGAATGCTGAGAGCAGGCAGCACAGGCCTCTGCCACACACGGGGCAAACCCTGCAGCTGCTGCTGGCAGGGGAAAAGTGAAACCTCTCTTAGGAGTGAAAGGGCAAATGCAGAACAAGCAATTACAAGCGAGATTAGAAAGCAAAAGCTAAAACAGATGCCTTAAACCTTTGCCTACATTAGGTCATGAGCATCAGCAATAATTTTTTTCCACTTAGAACCAACCTTTGTTTATAAACAAAGTTCTAATATACATAATTCATAACCCACGTGATTCTAATACTGTGATGCCTCAGAAACAAAAGGTGATTCTTTTGTTAAAACAACATTCCCCAGGAAATTCACACTTTAATCATGTTCTACTTTCTTTCCTTTGCTATTATTCATGTGTAGTAACAAACTTGTGTAATTTAACTTTTAAAAACCTAGAAGCAACAAAAATTTACTAAGTTAAATTAAATTAATCATTAAGGGAATTTCTAAATCTCTGTTCAATGAAACATAACAAATTGGGCTGCTTCTGTTCTTTGATTTTTTTTTTTTTTGTAAAGTAAGAGCGAGTTTTGTATTTTAGAGTTTTTTTGTTTCTGTAATTTTTAATGCAGAAAAGCCTTGCACAGAAAATTCAAACTCCTAAAGCATTCTAATTCCTGCTTTACCAGGTAAAACCCTGAAGTGCACAGGTCTCAAATTCCTCCCACTGAGCCCTGCCAGGACCAGCCCTCCTGCAGTCTCCTCAGAGGTGAGAATGGGCATGATCTGTCTGAGCCTTCTCCTGGGGCACAGCCACTGTTCTTAGAAAAAAGCTCCGACAAATCTGTATTTCCTCCTACCTTAGCACACTGATGTCTTTGCAGGCAGAGCAGAACAGAATTATCTCAGTGCCATCTTAGAGATGCCATATGGCCACCACTCCTGAATTCACTTTGGTCACCAGTTTGTGTTAAGAGATGACACCAACCTGCAGCATTTCAGCTACACTGTGATTACTGCTACAGCTCTAGAAGCACACATTGCAATTGTGAAATTGCTAATAAAATGAATAAATGGGTGGGGGAGAGAGTTGCTCAATGTCAAATATCTTTCTATAAGCAGTCATGTTTTAAAGCTGGTTTGTTTTTTTTTGGTGGGGCAAAACTCAAGCAGTTTCTGCAGCCAGAACTGGTGAGCTGATAAAGGTAATAAATCATGAGCAGGATTAAACTTCAGCTTACAAGATAAAAATCATTCCCATTTTCCATGAGGACAGGAACTTGCCATCTTTCCTATTTTGACTTTTTCTCAGCATTGGAAGAAAATCTCAGTCCATATTCTACTGTTGGTCTTAGGCACCAAAGATGAATTGCTGGGTTTGCTTTTTAAAAGCAACATTTGCATGGATGCTTCCCTCTTTTGAGATGGAAAGCACATAAGAAACTCACTTGATTCAGAGCTTGTGTGTGCTGCTTCCCTTTATCCCTGAAGTAACGTATTGTTTTTTTAAGCAAAGCAAACAGAGAGGATTTAGTAGAATACAATTTCTTTTGTTTTATTGCTCCATTAATTTTATTTATGTTCAAATATGCTGCTTTTATCAATTTGGTATGAGCGAGAGAGATGCATCAGGAGGAAGGAACATGATTGTACTTCAGAATGAGGCATTGGGCAGAAGAGGAGCAGGAGATGCCTGCACTACCTCGGATGATCAGTCATATTAATGCAGCACAGCCTTGATAGGTAGCAATTACAGGATAATAGATAGCCCAAGCATTATTCAGAAATCTACTGCAACCATATGTTTAGACCCCTGCCTTTACATCCCTTCCTGCAGATACAAAGGCAAGCTATCATTATTTAGGAAACAAAAAGCAACCCAACTTTCCTTAGCAGCATATTTTGGATTTTCTAATTTGCATCTCTTGAAAGTCTGCCACTGTAGAAAGTCACCTGTTTCCCCACAGTCATTTCTTTATACTGTTAATTTTTGATCACTCAACTGTGCCTCAGTCAGCAAAGCAATAAATACTCTTAAGAAATTGTAACAATAACACCTCGACAAAAGCTAATTGAATACTAACTTAAAATTCCAGAATGAAACAGATACTCTTGTTAACTGAGCCCACTACACAGAACACTTCTGGGTCAACATCCCACCACAGTTTTTTTATGTGACACCAAGGACAAGCTGCTTTTTTACAGCAGCATCCTTTACAGAGTGAATTGGATAGAAAAGAACAGGCAAAGCACTTGGCTACAAGAAATGAATGATGATGGAGATCCTGCAAAAGGCCTTTCCTAATGACAAGATATTACTCCACAGGTTAATGAAAACCAAATACTAATTTAACACGCTAACCTTTGAGCAAATTGAGTTCAACTAATCAAAAGCCCTCCAAAAGGGTATTTTGAGCTAAGAGAAAAGACTGGAAATATCATTTACATAAGATGGTTGGTAATGGTGCATTTAATGGCATTGGTGATAGGGAATTACACTAAGGAAATGAACACATCATGTATGACCTATTCCCTAAAGCATTTAATAGGACGTCTCTAAAGAGCCAAATTCTGCCCACTGGTAGTGAAGTACAATTCCTGTTAATAAGGAAGGCAGTAACAGACTCAGGACACCCTCTTCTCAGAATTTTAGACAGAAATAATACCTACCATCAATCCCAGACTGGGTAAAGGGCTCTCTACATCAATTTTGGTAACTAAAGGACAGTCCACCTCTGAACTGGAACTCCTCCAGCACAGAACACTATTTATTACTCATGATCTACTATTCTTTATGGACCCTTTATGTCAGGAGGATGTGACACCCACCTCTGAGTGCCTCTGGCTGAAGACTACTGGATAAATAAATCCTCCCACCACTCTTTTTAAAAGATGACCCTGACAAATATATTTGGGAAATACCCTGAGCTTGTGCAGGCACACACACAAGGCTCTGTATCTGCCTTCATCGTGGTCCCAAGCACCTTCTCAAGCTATTTTTGATGCCCATTTAGCATGGCTCAAGTGCAAGAAAACAATGCCTCTCTAAAAGTGAAGGCAGGGCAATTCTTAGGCTCAAGCACAAGAAGACAAACCTTCATCCCTCTCTAAAATTAAAGGCAATGTCCTTATTAGAAATTTATATAAACAGCTAAACAAAAAGTGGTATTTATACCTTTTGCAACAAAAAAGCAACTCCCATAAAGGTGAAAAGATGTAGCTGGCTTTCCAACCTCTATGCAGACATACAGGAATGGCATGAAGGATTTTCCTCTGCTCTTTCCTTCCTGCCCCCACCAAGTCTCTGAGCCCTGAAAACCAGATTTGAGTCTGCTTTGCACCACCACCTCAACATACTCTGAAAATTACTGGAAACAATCCAGCAGTCCCCAGCTAAGCACCACACCTGTGATTTATCACTTACCACTCACACCGTGGCAACTGCAAGCTACATATTCTTGTTTGTCAAACAAAACAGCATCAAATTACATGGTTGGGAACGTGTCCAGCATCTCATAACAATTCCAGGTCTTGATAGATCCAAGATGTTACATTACAATAAAACTGGGACACATCTTTAGGAAATATACTTTAGAAGAGTACCGAGCTCTGCAATATATTGTTTTTTGTAATATCAGATAATGCAGCCCTTTTTGAGGAGGGCAGGGGGGCAGGCATTTCTTCCCTGAAGATTTCTAATACAGCAGGGAATAGCTGGCAAGTAAAAATGCTTGCTTTGGCAAAGCACATAACGCTGCTGGTTTGTACATTTGCTAATATTTTCAAACTCCTCAGAAATGAGCTAACCCAGCAGGCACCTCTGGCCTTACTGCACAGTGCTGTTGTCTTCTAGCACTCCCAGTCTGAGCAAACAACTGCCCAGGGGAAGGACAAAGAGACTGTCACCTGGATGGACATTAAATCAACAGATTACAGGAAGTAATCTGTACAAATATAAGGGAGGCAGCTCTAATTGAGCACATTTAATAAGGCACTGTGAGGCCTTTGCCCAGGAAAGCATCAGTGAACAATGGGCTCCAAATCTACAACAAAAGCACTGCAGATACTCCACCCAGCAGGAGTGGTGACCATGCTTCAGGGACACTCTCGGCTCACTACATTTAAGCCTTTAATAAATTGGATTTTTTTTTTTTCTTTTAAAAAAAATGTCATCTGCTGACTGTCACTTTGGAGAACTCCTGAACTACTGTAATAGCTACCTAATGGATGCACTTCAGTGCTCTCTTAAACTAGAGATATCCAGAGAAGTCATCAAAAAAGACACTAGTCACAGGTACATTAAACTACTTAAATCTGCTTACATATCAATGTACCATGCTGTAAGTTTATGAGACAGACACTCTCCTCCCTTTTAGTTCAGCTAAAGTTTAAGTACTGTGATTCTTGCTGGCTTCACTGAAGGACTAACCTAAGACTTTTGGCTAACAGTTGCCCTTCAATCTTTTCATTCTTCTCTTCATTACTCACTCCTGTCTCACTGCCTGAAAATAAGAATCACAATATGAATCTAAAGTTTTCCAGTACTGGGAACCCTCACATTCCTTTGAAAAAAAAATCCCATGGAAATGTGCTTACAGAGAATAAAAGACCCAAACCTTTTGTGGAACTATACCTTGTAGTTAAGGGATTCCACAATTAGAACATAATTACTGAGCCATATAATGTGTCAAATTATGGAGAATGACTATTTGTAAAGCTACAGATAAAGAGAAGAATGAATAAATCTGGAGCCATAGATAAAACCAATTAAACTGAAGTCCTTCCCTTCAGCATTCCTCTAACACTTTGGAGACCATCTCTGTACCCAGTACTAGTTTACATGCACAATTGCTGTGATAAAACTTTTACACTATATACACAGCATAAATCCCAGTAGTAAATAATTCAGTACAAGAAACGGCTGCAAAGAGGGACAGCTGGTGCTGACAACACTATCAGCATCTTTGCTACTACATGACACACAGTCAGTTATGAGTGGAGTAAGATTATGGAGAAGACAACACAAATTTCAGGTTAAGACTGGAGTTGTTAAAGGATTTCACTTGTTAGTTGAATAAGAGCCAACATCCTTTAAAGCACAGTTCAAAATGAAACTACCTGTCTTCAAAATACACTGAGAAGGTCTTTGCATAGAAATTCAAAGCACGCAAACAGCACATCCAAAACATGCAGAGAAAGACAACACTCATCTTTGTTTGGTTTATATCCTAAAACTCAGTTATTGCAGAGAATAAAATTTCACTTAGAAATTCAGTCAAACCTATCCTTTAATATATGGAAGAGTCCAAGAGAGGGTAAGAACCCACAAAGACACACCTCTGATACCCTACAGAGTGGGCAGGGCTGGGGGTCAGTACCACAGACACCTCCTGCACAGCTCAACAACAGCTGCCTGTCCTGAAGGTCAAAATGAGCCTCAGCACAGTGAGGACATCCAGGGAAGCTCAGTAGAAACAATAAGGAATGATAAGAACAGAAGATTTAGAAACAGACCCTGAGGAAGCACTTCTTTCAGATTAAAAGCCATACACGGTTTAAATCATCACCCCTTACTCTGATTTCTAATTTCATCCCAAAAGAGAGCCTTCACTCCTGTACACACAGAATTAAATTTTTAAAATTGGATTTCCTTGCAAATGCACCTCTATTTTTTCCTACTCCCTCAAAGCTCATTCAGTCACAAGAAGAAAATGTCACCTCTGCTACTTGGATCATATACAGGGCAGTGCTTTTCCTCACCCAGTAGAACAAAGTCACCACGAGTTCTTACAGTTTCAAACAGAAACAGACCTCTGGCACCTGCTTTTCTCTGCCCCTTCAACACAACAGTACCATTCCTGCCTTGATACAACTTCAGCAAGGCACCATCCTTCCAGAAACTGAAGGGGGGTGACCTCTAACAACAGCATTATAATTCTGTAATGCACAGATCAAAATCAAGAAAAGAGTTAAGTAAAGTACACTGAGAACATGGCTAGTGATAAATTAGGGATCCACCATCTAAATTAGTAGCAATAATTACATTCTCTTTCAAAGAAACTGAGGTGTAAGAGACACTAATGTC